GAACTTGGCTTCTATCTGTTTGTACCCTCAGCACCTACAAACAGGACCTAACTCAGCACAGGGGCTTGCTGGAGAAGAATTCTGCAAGTGAATGAGCATTCAGGTGAAGTCAGGTTTTCCTGAAATTCCTTCATTGAAGTGGTATGCCTTGCCTCCTTCCTGAAGAGACTGTGAACCGATAGCACATAGGGCAAAAGCAAGGAAACATGGACATGACAGTCTTTCTCAAAGATGAAGAGGGTCTTTGGACAACAGACTTGAGCAGTTTCTGTGATTTCTGTCCTGGGAGAGGTGGCAAAGGTGGTGAGGGGTTGTGTGTGCTGGGGAAGGCCCTAGAAAATCCTGGAGAGGTGGACTGGGACACACACTCGGGGGTGGGGGTGTGTGACTGTAGACAGGCACGTGACAAGAGTGTGAGTTTTAAAGGGGAGGGCCCTGAGAAGTATGACATACTGTGCAGGACAGCTAGAGCCTGGGATTTATGTACTGGGGGAGAGGGGTTCTCTAGTCTCTCTGCAGCCTCCGAAAGCATCTGTCAGGGTCCTAAACTCATAGAGTACTAAACGTGATTAGGTTTCTTAAGGGACATGATGAAAAGTGGCATTTTACATCAGGGTATGATGAGGGTGAAAGGCAGTCCAATGCTAGCAAAGAGCTCAAAAGAGGACCCTGTGAAAGACACCCTAAATAAACTTCTGGTTACCCTGCAATTGAGTAAAGTGTGTCTCCCCTACCCCCCCAGCTAAGAGGAGAAGAGGGAAGCTCCAGAGACCCCCCAGGAATAAATCTTCTGCAAAGAGGGACATTGAGGACCTGTGTGCTGAGTTGGTGGCAATAACCTGGCATGGCCTCTATGTCGTTGGGAGACTAGAATAGCCACAGGGAGGCTGGAGGAACCCAAGAGCCAAGTGGGACTCACCTAGAAAGAAGGACATCCCCACATCAAGGAACAGCCATAGGGGACTCCCGGAGTGCACCCCCAAGCCTATTGGTAATAGCTCCACCTCCAGAAAAGTTTCTGACAATTACATTTACTAAGACTCATCTTTTTCTCTACTAGAACAACTGTCATAGCAACTTGACCATGTATTCTTTTCCAATGACCTTAAATATTTTTCCTTTTCTTTTTAACCAAAATATAATTCAACTTTAATGAAAATGTTGTAATGATAATAATAAATTACCCCATATCCTGTCACCTAACACAACCCCTATTGTCATTGTTTCTTATTCATAATTCCCCTAATCAACGACAGATTCTCTCGTCTTATAGAAAGGACGTTCCCAATGGGAATGAGCAAATGGAAATAGAAAAGGATGAATTCAGCTGTCCTCTATTTAAAGTGATACAATCTACTTTAAATGAAGCACAAAGGGTCTCTTCATATATGAACCTAGAACTTTTTTTCAGCAATGGCATCCAGCCCTAAGCCTTGGGACAATTTCTTTGAAATTTACAAATTAAAGTAACTAACACATGCATCTTGTTAAAGCTTGAAGCAAGAGAATGGGGTTGACAGGAGCATAGAAACAACAGCACATGCCTGTAAAGATGGAACTTGGCTCACTGGACTGGTACTTACATTGCACCACAGTCCAAGCCCCAGTGGGCTTTCCAATCCATTCTCTCATCAGTGCTTTATGTAAACGCCAGATCCAGACCTAGCCTGCCTCACCATCTGCTATGGTCTGAATGTGCCACGTCCCAAATTCAGGTGTTGCAACGTGATGGTATTAAGAAGTGGGACATTTAAGAAGTGATTAGGCCACAAGTGCTCCTCCCTTGTAATGGGATTAAGGCCCTTTTAAAAGAGGCTTCTTTGGGTTAGGTTGCTGTGTAATGATGCAGCAAGAAGGCCCTCACCAGACCAAATGAAGTTGCCTTGATCTTGGACTTCCCAGCCTCCAGAACTGTAAGAAATAAATTTCTGTTCTTTATAAATTACCCAGTCTGGGGTATTTTGTGCAGCACAAAGGAACCCAGACACTGTCTTTATATTTGCAACTTTCCCCTCTAGCAGCTTCCCCTTGTCTCTGACCATCCAATGCCCAGCTCAAATTTTAGTTGTGAAGCAGTTACAAAAAGCCTTTCCTGTCCTTCTACTCTAGGGCACAGAGAAATCAATTCTTGTTTTCCACAGCCTGCCTTCCAGGTAGGGAGGCTGTGTGACTCCCTTCTCACCAAATGAGATGTAGAAGTCTGCTCTTGTTGGGGAGAGGTTGGTTCTGAAAAGCATTTTTTTTTCTCCTGCTAGAAGGTGACAGTGCTGGCCTCAACCTTTTTCCCTTCCTTCCTCCTGCCTTCAGTACAGATGTGATGTCTGGAGGTATACAGCCTTCTTGTGACAAGGAGGTAATGAGCACAAAAAGAAGGGCATGAGAACATCGTCCATCACTGACCTGTCAAGTGTGTGTCAGCTGCTGCCTCCCTCTAGACACTTAGTAGGAGAGAAGAAGAAACTCCTATTTATTTAGGTCACAGTAAGTCAGGTTTTTGTTGCTTGCAATCAAAAGCATTCCTAACTGATATAGCCCCATTCTCATCAGCCTTCCCTAACCAAATCCAACCCAAGAGGCAATGTCTATAGTGGCTACAAACTTGGGTTCTGAAGCCAACCTTAGTTTTGAATCCCAAGTCTATCACTTACTAGCTGTACGACCTTGGCCACGTTACCTAAATAAGCTTCATTTTGCTTATCTAAAACATGGTAATAACAGTGGTATGTGCTTCATATAGATGCTAAATGAGATAATGCATATAAAATACTTAAAACATTGTCTGGCAGATAAGTGTCAAACATTGATTTTCCTAGCAGAGGTGGTCCAGTCACCCTTAGCACCCACTGGAGACTGAACTCTTCCTGTCTGCCACAGATAGGCCCACTCATCCCGCTCTCAGAGCGCTGTGTTCTGACTCTGTAGCCTGAACAGGGAATCCAGAGCAGTTGTCCTTTCCATCCGCACTCACCGGCCTCCTGGGAGCCTGTACCCTGCAGCCAGGACAAGCTTTCATGCTTGCTGTTCTTACTCTCACAGCTGATCTGGGGCTGTATCCCGTTTTATCCACCAGCTTCTTAAAGGGGGGAACTTGTAGCAAAGAGAGGGAGGGAAGAGAGCTATGAGTCCATTTTCCATCGCCCTGATTCCCAGCTGCTGTTGGCTGGGCAGCAGAGAGGCCTTGGCTGTTGCCATGGCAGTGGGCTCTCGGACACCACACGGCAGCCTCTTGGTCTCTCTTGCACTTCAAGGATGGGAAAAATAAATTGTTCAAAGAGTCTCTTTACCCCTTGGGAACTAGGGATTATGCTGAAACTTTATTATTACTTTAAATAAATAAATTACTCCCTGGAGGCCAGATGAAAACATGCTCTTATTAAATTTTTTAAAGGAGAAAAGGAATTGGAGAACAGAATCAAAGGTGCCCAAATGGATTGAAGTGGCTCCTCAGAAGCTGACATAATAGCAATTTGTATTTATATTATGCTTCTCATCAAAGGAATGTTTCACAAAGGCCCCGTTTCCCCAGAGCTGCCCTGCACTACAGAGTTCAACTGCATCGCAGAAGAGCCTAGAGCACCGGGGTCTCCCAGCTTCCAAAGCCCCACCTCAGGGCTCTGACCAAGGCAGCTGATCTGCCTCTGGCCCCCAGGGCTGGCTCAGTCTCAGAGTCCTTCAGGAAGCTAGGAGAGGCGTCTGTGTCCCATTGGTCGGTGGGAAAGAGAGTGCTGCCTCCCATGTATGGATTCCTAGTGGGGGCTGATCATGGACTCCTAACCAGGAGAGGGGGGTGTGCACTTCCCACTGGCACACTCACACACACACACTCACACACACACTATGAAAACTAACTGTTGGGAAGCAGAGCCTGTCTGGGAATAAGTTCCCTATTCAACTATCAGCAGAGACCAGGATTTCTGCCCTGTGCTTGGTTTTCCCCAAGTGTTTCCAACGTTCAGGACAGTAATAAGTGACTTTTTCTTCCCCCGTATTCTAGGTGGGCAATAAGACATTGTATACTTGTGTGTGTTTGTATGTGTATGACACATCTGTCACTGGATCCGCTTACTTGTCCTTGTTTCCACAGTGCTTGATATATAGTAGGGGTTAAATAGGTCTTCTTTAAGGAAAGGACTGCACAAGTGAATTAATGAAGGACAAATTGGAGAAATTAAATAAATGGTCAAATTTTCCAGGCAGAAGTGATCACTCAGTGCCTGGGGAACATGAAAGAATTTCATTCCTCAAACACAAAATAACAACCATTTATTAAAGGTTTACTCTTTGTACAGTGCTGAACTATCAATTTGATATAGCCTTTCTCATAGCATCATTTTACATATGAGGAGACTGAGGTTCTGGGAGATCATGACCTGTCCATGCATGCGCTGAGGTCAAGGCTAGAACCCAGCTCTTCCTGGCTCCAAATCCACACTCCTCTTCATTGCCTCCTGCACCCACAACCCACCCCTAGTCCCACCTCATCTTTCCACCATGATGTCCACATCCATACTTGGTCCATGGAAATTCTCTACTTGAAACACCTTCTTCCTCTCTCATTTACTAAAAGTTTTGTATTTTCTTTAGAATCCAACCCTACCCTAAAATCTTCTGGTATCCAGATTATGTCCCAGCACAACCACCAAGCAAATATTTCATCAAGAAAGGCAGAGTAGGGGTCCTACATCAATGAACCAAGGTGTTGATAGTCCACGTAAATGGCAAGTGACTCCTATGACCCATGGTCCAGCTGCTTCCCTTCCTGGACCTCTATCATTATGACCTCACGAATGCAGTGACTGTGAGCTCACTGCCATCAGAGATCTGAGCCTAAGTCCCAACTCCATCAATTAGTATCTTTGTGACCTTAGGCAGGTCACTGAAACTCTCTAAGCAATATTTTCCTCCTTTGGAGAAATGGAGATAATAATGCCAACCCCACTTCATAGGGCTGTTGGAAGAATTGGATGAAATAACAGCTATAAAGTCCTAACACAGCATACCTGGCATATAGTCCTATTGGCCATGATGGTTTGATCATGATGGTTGAGATGGCAACTCTTACACCTTCCTTGTGCAGTGTTAGCCTTGATGGGTTGGCTGAGGTTCTGTGTGGGTGTTTTCTGTGACCTCAGCTGAGTGTCACTGGGAAACATGGTAGGTGACAAAGGGGGAGACCATCTTCTATTAATACTATTTAAGCCACATAAATGGCTGCTTTACCTGAGTTGGACCAACTCCTAGGGGGGTTGATCCCCAGCAGGTGACATAAGAAGTGTCAAACAATGGGATAAAAATGTTCTGGAATATTTCAAAGACATGCAGTGACATCAGAGGGGGTAATTGGTGACCTTTGAGGCCTGAGTGCCTCTCCCTGGGATAACCTCTGCCCTTTTCCACCTCTGCTTTCTTGTTCCCACTCATCCAGCTGGGGCCCATTCTCCCTCCTTATCTTTCCCTGTGTTAATCACAACCACCCTCAAAGCCAGTTGAAATCCCACTTGCTCTGTGAGGCTTTTCTCACCACTGTACTCCAAATGCCCCTCTCCTTCAGCACTGTCTGTACCTCTCACATGTCAGTCTCAGTGTGGTGATCTTGCACTGATATTCCATTGTTCACATGTAAGCCCTGATGATTAGTCTGTAGTTGTTCATGGGCAGGACTCATGCCAAGGACAGATTTTTACATTCCAAAACCGAGGTCAGTATGGAGGCAAAATGGAGCTGATCACCAGTGTCCATACTACACACTTGTTGGGCAGAAGATAAGTAGAAACCAACTGACCTGGCAGGGTTCTAAAAGTTCATACAGTCTAAATCCTTTATTTGAAATACATGAACAAACTGAGAGCCAACAAGTGAATGTTTCTAGCCTAGAGTCACAGTTAATGTCAGAGCACAGACTAGTGTTTCTCTACTCAGTCTATGGGTAATATTAAATTTTATAAGAGAACAAAAACCAAATCATATTTTGCATCTTCTCCCCACATATCTTAATGGAAGTTCTGAGCTTTGTTGTTTAATTGGGAAAACTGCCAAAAATGCGTGCTCATTTTTGATTCACTGTGAGTCTTCCAAAGTTTGCCTATTTTGAGGACGTGAACTCTCCAGCCTCAACCTTTATGTTCCACTCTATGATGATGGACGTCCTACAGTCCCCCTAAAGCTCCCACAGCCTTGGCTCATCTTCCCCATGCCTCACTTCACCTGGCTAGCCTTCCCCTCCTAGGTCTTAGGTTTAAGGTCACTGCCTACGTGAAGTCTCTGCTGCTCTCCCCTACTCCACAAAGATTCTGCTGGGTGCTCCCATCAGGTGCTGCATATTTTCTGCTGAGGGTTAGCTCACATCACTCTTCAAGGTCCTGATTACATTGCATTGAAACTTTCCTGCTTACTTGACTGTCTTTGACCCCAAAATGACACATTGAGTATCTGTTTTGGTCACTCTTCCCCTGGTGGTGAGCTTCCTTGGGAGAACCCCGCCTCTTCCCATCTCACTCATTCTTGAAACATGACCATATTAGGGCTGCCATCTTGGTAAGACCCACCTACCGGGCTGCAGTGACACATCTGGTGGCAAGCACTGGGTGATTCTGGACCAAAGTGCCTCATTCCCATGCCACTGATTGGCTTGAGGGTGACCACCTGATGCAAGATAGGCCAATCAGAGGCTTTTCCCTTGAGTTTTCAAACCCAAGCTGGAAGAGGGCATCCCTTTTCTCTTTAATAATGCACTAAGGCCATAGGTGGCTAGAAGCCATGGAGTAGATGTTTTGGAACAATGAAGCAGACTGAGAGAGAAGAGCAAAGACAACATTTAGAGGAAAAGTATCTTGAGCGTGACTGATGATTCATTCTCTCAGTTCAGCTGTTTCCCTGCCAGTTAGATGGTTTGATCAAATGACACTGTTATGGGCTGGACTCTCCCCCATCCCCAATTCATATGCTGAAGCCCTAGCCCCTAGTACCTCAGAATGTGACTGCGGTTGGAGATACAGCCATTAAAGAGGTGATTAAATTAAAATGAGACCACTAGGGTCGGCCCTAATCCAGTAGGATTGGTGTCCTCTTCTAAGAAGAAGAAGTTTGGACACACAAAAGAGACATCAGGGATGTGCACACACAGAGAATAGGCCATGTGAGGACACAGCAAGAGAGCAGTTTGCTATAAGCCAAGGAGAGAGACCTCAGGAGAAAACAAACCTGCCAACACCTTGGACTTGGCCTTCTGACCCCCAGAACTGTGAGAACATAATTTTTTTTTGCTTAAACCACCCAATCTGTGCCACTTTGTTATTGCAGCTCTAACAGATTAATACAGATCCCACCATTCCCTTTTTTGTTTAAATTAGTTTAATATCAGTCTCTAAGCCTTGCAATCAAAGGGTGCAGGGGCAGAATGTCAAATACCTTCAGCAGATGGAATGATGACTCTATCCCAAATGGCCTCTTGGCCTCTCCTGAGGCTCAAGGCCTGTGACAACAGGGAGACAGACAGGTTCACCCGTGGACTCATTTATGGGACCCAGCCAAGCGTAAGTCAGGTAAGTTCAAAACTCTGCCTCAGTTTGAAGGATTAGTGGCTGCCTGAAACATTTTGTGTGCTGATCAACTTTTCCTCTTTTCAAAATTCAGAAACCTAGGACTGAGTAATGACAAAACTGACTTTTTGTCTGTAAGCATGATCTGCCTACACTGACTGAAAAACAAACAAACAAACAAACAAACAAAAAAAACACCTGGCATTTCCTTCTACATGGCATTTACCTGGACAGACTCTCCTGTAAGATAAACCCAGTGAAGATGGTCACTCAGCTAAGACCAAGTGATTTGGATTAACTAGGACTGGCTGGCACTTCCTTCCAGGGGTATTTTTCTAATTTCCAAATCAGCTACTTGCTTACTACCAGGAGTGGGCACTTCCTAGCTCTGTTATGAATGACTTTACCTGGTAAATATCAATATCATTCTTTTTTCCCTCTAATAATGTTACCCATGTTCTATGTTTGCTACAGAAAATCTATCACTGAGCTAAGATTTAAAGTCTTAACCTTCTACGAGTGTTAGCCATGGGACCTACTTCTTAAACCTTGAATAGCTTCTGGCCTGTTCACACTTGATTTTGCTTGTTGGTTGTTTTTCCTCCTCTACTGTTTTTATTATTATTACCCACTTTCCCCCATTCCATTGCAGGGATTCTATTCTTCCTAAAATATAGTTTTTGAATGTATTTTTCTGCCTGCTTTTTCCTCAATAACCCTGTTGCTTGTTTAAAAGTAAACTAAAGGTATTTACTTAGTAAGATTTGAAAAATAGAAGCTAAAGACAAACAATAAGAATTCACTAAGTTGTCTGGGTGTGGCAGTGCACACTTGAAATCCCAGCAATTTGGGAGGCCAAGATAGGAGATTCGCTTGAGGCCAGGAGTTCAAGACCAGCCTGGGAAACATAACGAGACTCTACCTCCACAAAAAATTTTTTAAAAAATTTACTAAGTTATGAAAAGTCTTTACTAAATGGTATTTCAGAGTCTCAGAGACATGAAAGCAAGGAACTGATAATTTGTTTTCTTAGTTCTCTTTGCTCTTTTGCAAATGCATCTTTCTCCATAAATCTCATATAGCTTTCTAAAGATTTTACCAGTGGCTTTGATAACCTCTCTCTACATTTTCACCTCTTTCTCTTCCTCACTAGCTTCTACCACTTGGGAACTCATGGATAATAATCAGTCTTTCATAATGGACATGCTTCTAACAAAGGACTTAACTACCCTCACTTATTACTTGTTTCACAGAGCAAAAGGCTGTAAGAAAAATTTCATCTAAGCAGCATTTTATTTAAATAACATTGCTATGTCTTCCACAAAAATGCAGACTAAAAATATTAAAAGTGTTTACTACATTGATTTTTCAATGTTCTTTATGTGGACAAGATAAGTTCTTCAGTTTAGCTAAGGGATTTTAAAACGAATAACATGAATTCTCTGCCTATGAATCTAAGCTAAGTGACTTTGTCCTAATGATGGGAAAACCAAGGCGAATTTATAGATCTGTGACTCACAACCCTCTCAGCTCAGGGCTCTGAGAGAACTCACGTTCTCGTTTTTTACAGATGCCCTCACTTTTGTTACCTTCTTAGAGATTTTACCTTGTTTTTAACCTGGCGTATTTCAAAGTGTTACCAAAATAAACAACTAAAAAATAATTCTGAGTTCAGACATGTTTGGAAAACGCTAAGTAAAATAAAGTGAGCATTTTCTTTTTAAAGCAGCAAGACTTCCCAGAGATTTTTAAATGCTCATGTGCCGAGAAAACTTGCAAGGGATGCCACCGGAAATAACGCACAAATTGATGTGACCCTCGGTGCTCCTTTTGCACAGAGCATCTTCTAGGATCAGTGGTCCAGGGCACACCAGTTTGATATCTCTAGCCACTTCAAAGACTTACGCAAGAAAGAAAGTTTAAAGACATAAAATAAAAAAAGAAAAAGCTTTGTTTTTCTTTTAAAAATCCAAGCTATTACTCTACTTGACCTCATAACTACTATTAACTGTCTCAGAGGAAATGCTATTTCTGGTTCGTATCACATGGCGTATTCTTTTTAGAAAGAACCATGTCCAAACCCTTAAGTAAAATAGTCATACATTTCAATATATAAAGAGAATTGAGTCAACAAAAATATACCCAGAGGTGTATAGAGATGCCCATTGGATGGTAACAAGCATTTTACCTTCCCCATAAACTGGAGATGACAGAGGAACAAGTGTGGTATAGGCATATGATGAAATATTATTCAGCCTTAAAAAGGAAGAAAGTTCTGACGCATGCTACAACATAGATGAAAGCTGAAGATGTTTTGCTAAGCCTCATAAGCCAGACATCGAAGGACAAATTTTGTATGATTCCACTAATATACGGTGTTTAGAGTCAAATTCATAGACACGGAAAGAATGGTGGTTGGAGTATGGGGTTTCACTTCTGGAAATCAAAAAAGTCCTAGAAATGAATGGGTGATGGCTGTGCAACAAAGTGGAAGTTCTTAATGCCACTGAACTGTGCACTTAAAAATGGTCAAAATGGTAAATTTTATGCTGTGTTTTACTACAATAAAATAAATAACTGGAGAATACCACCATATGGAAATCCCAAAGGACAGAAGGTGAGACATTAAGAAGACAAAGGAGAATCTGAGTAACTGGGATTTGAAGATTAGTTAAGGCAAATCTCTCTTCAGATTTCTGTTTTGAAAATATTCTTCTGTAATATAGGAGGCAAGGCA